CTTGGGAAGTTTTTTAAAGAGAGTTGCTTACACGGTTTGGTACATCTAATTACCACAACTACAATGAGGCTCTCACACGCATACGGCAGACAGGTAGCCTACGCGAGTACATCAGGGAGTTTGAGCGGTTGACCTGCCGCGTACGTGATTGGCCCGAAGATGCGTTGGTCGGAGCATTTGTAGGACGATTAAAATTTGACCTAGCTGCGGAGGTCTGACTCAAAAGGCCGGATACCATGCACAATGCGATGGAGGTTACCCGGCGACGCGAAGATCACCTGGTCGCTACACGAAGGGGACGGGCGGATATACGATTCGCAGACACGCGACGCACGGGATCAAACCAAGCCACAGTCAGCGTACGACCAAACGTCAGCATTCGGCCAGCAGGGTCGATAGTGAGGCGGTTGTCCCCCGAGGAAGTTAAACGTCGACGTGAGAAATGTCTATGCTTTAAATGTGAGAAGAAGTTTACCCCCGGTCACCAATGTAAGCAGGCCTTTGTAATCGAGGTGGCCAACCCCGACGATGAGGAAGCTGAGGTCGAGGAGGAACCCCATCAGGAAGAGGTGAGTGAAGTACGTCATGAGGAGCCTGAAATCTCGATGCATGCAATGGCTGGAATCAGAGGACCAAGGACGACGCGTCTACCAGCATGGGTCAAGGATCGAAGAGTAATTGTACTCGTAGACAACGGTTCGTCTCATAACTTCATCAATGCTGAGTTGACTGAAAAGTTAAAGTTACCAACCACAAAAATCAAGCCCTTTGAAGTCCGAGTAGCCAATGGAGAAAGGTTACAATGTACTGAGTCATTCCAGAAGGTGCCAATCAAATTTAACGGAGTCACTGTAAAGGACGATCTCTACGCCTTACCTTTGGTTGGACCGGATGTCGTTCTAGGGGTGCAATGGTTTGAGGGGCTAGGCAGGGTAACTACTGACTATCGAACAGGAATTATGGAGTTCAACTCTGGAGGTCGACAAGTCACCTTGAGTACGGGCACCGAAAAGGGTACTAAGGAAGTAGGGCTAAAAAGTATCGAAAGAGTTTGGCGAGGTGGCGGCCGAATTTTTGCAGTAGTAGTCGAGAACACCAAGGCGCACATAGACCGAGATGAACAACAACAAGGTGATGTGCGTAAGCTTCTCGAGGAATTCGAAGGAGTACTGGGCGAGCCTAAGGGACTTCCACCACACCGAGAGTTCGATTATCGCATACCACTGATCAATGAGCAGCATGCCATACATGTCCACCCTTATAGGTACGCTCATTTTCAGAAAACCGAGATCGAACGGCAAGTGGCCGAGATGCTTGAGTCAGGACTAATCCAGCATAGCAAGAGTCCTTTCTCTTCTCCAGTCTTGTTAGCCAAAAAGAAAGACGGCACGTGG